CCTAAAGATACAGTCCCACGACCCATTGAGCCATTTAAATCGTTCGTTTTAGGGATAATCCGCCTCTGTCTACAAGCTGAGTGATAATCCTGTCAGACAGTCTAGCTTCAGGCTTTCCTAACGACAAACGTAAATATTTGTTCAAGCCCTCGCAGACGTGAAGGAGATCTTTTAAAAACCTATTCGTATCTAATCTTCTACTTTAATAACGTAAGGTTACCAGACCATACGTCATCTTAAACTATGAGCTGCGGATTACCTGATGGTATACAATCGTAACACCAAAGGAGTAAAAAGGTTGTTGTGCGTTGCCCGCCTTTTGGGGACGTTTCGGACATTTAAGGATATGGCCTCTGGAAACCTCTCTTCTTTGAAGGTTTTCTGTGAGGCCGTGGTATCATGTATGGTAGTTTTCCTTCACCGTACGTCAGTGGTGTCAACTTAGAAAGTACAGGAAGAAGTCACATTGCTACGTGTTAGGTTCTTGCATGATAACCACGAAACTATTCATGTCTAAAGAAAAATCCTTGCCTACATGTTAATGATCAAATATTTATGTGTCTAGTAATAAAAATGCTTATTGATATTGTTATGGCGGACTCAGTTAAAGTCCCGAAAAAAGCTAATAAGTCTCTAAATGTAAATAAATCATTGTGTAACATTATAATGTCAGCTACAATTTTACATTACGAAATTTCATCCTAACAAAATTTTCCCGTTAGCAGCCATCACTCCTGTCGCGCCGGACATTTATTTTCGGCGTAAATTGACTAATGAGTTGTGAAGCTTAAAGGAAATTTATGCTTGATGGCTTTTCAATAAATTGCGATAAAAAGAAATTAAGTACTTTTTTAAGTCCCTACTTTCTGAGAAGTTAATGATATAAATGATGTTTCACTTCGATTTAACATTTGAGCGTTCGTCTTTACAAGTTTATTGTTTATTCCATTTAGTGGGTAAATGTAACAGTACAATTAACATGTTTCATTCTACTGTTAGGCTACTAAAACCTAATGTAGGTAAGTCGAAAAGCTAAAAAGCTTAAAACATCTTGGCTAAACCTAAACGTTCTTAATATTCGCAAAACGACACATTCTTAGAGCTTAAGAAGATTATTCAAAATATAGGTAACGCATATTTCGTCAAATCAATAATAATATCTCTGCTTTAATTAATTAATTTATTTATTTATTCTTTATATACAATTGCATATCGGAGGACTTAATGCTAGAAGCATTTTCTGCCAGTCAACCTTTTGGTAGTGCAGAGATGTGTGGTAGGTGATATACAGCAATTTAGGAAGTTACGTGAGGTGGAGGTGTAAATCAATTCTAAGTTACATATACTAAGTTACATAGTTATATTTATCAATTTTCGACATTACAAAGTACAAAATGAACCACAATTCGAAACTTGCAAGTCATTGCTACAAAATACATCAATTTGACGGTTCCCTAACGGTTGTTGTTTTACTTAAAGTCCTAATAAACTTAATGAATAGCATAAACAAAGAATGGAAAGGGTCAACTGGTCACAAAATTAGGACATGAGATCAATATTTTTGTTCCTACATTAGCCTAGTACTAAATACCTAAAGCACTGAAGTGGGAAGGCTATTTTCCTTTTACCAAAGTTTTATAAGCTGTACTAATAAGATATATGTAGATTATAAAGCTGAAGAGTGTTTGTTTGAACCCGCCAATCTCTGAAACTACTGGTTCGAATTGCACATTTTTTATGTTGTATAGATAATTTATCGAAGAATGCATGGGCTTAAACATCACGCTACAACCAATATGAGCAAAAAGCTGATCCGCACAGGAGAAGCTAGTTTGATATATTTTTAAATGTAACAATATATATTCAGACGAGGTTGTATTCAGTTGGGTTGCTAACTGCAATGGCCAGATAAGTCACAGCCGTGGAGGAAAATTCGAAACGAACCGAGTGTTTTGTAATTATTCGCGGTCGCCACTACACACTACTACGAGTACTTTCTGGATCCACCAGCCGTCCGTCCTTCAAGCGACGTGGTCTGCCCGTTGCCACTTCACCCTGCAGATTTTCTGAGTACTGTCGGTAACTTTGGTTCATTGGAAAATTTCCATATTTCGGATTATGTCGCGCAAAAAGACCTCGAGCATAGCCCGCTCAATCGCGCGCTGAGCGACTCTGAGTTTTTCTAGAACACCAGAAGTTAAGGATTTAAATAGGGTGTTTATTTATACATAATATAATATAAGTTCCGTACTCGCCATTAGGATCAAAATTCGTCCCGAGTCTTCAACAATATAATTCCGGCAAGAAACATGTTGACAAAACTTTACAGGTAAAACTATCCAAAGATACATTATCCATAAGTATAGGTAACGTTAATTACGATTTTCCTTATTTTCAATAACAATAGGAGCAATCCGATCTGTATTTCCTGAGAGTGGGAGCCCTCTAATGAAGTCTCGTTCGACGGAAAATTAAAAATAACAATAGCTTTAATAACAGAAGTGCTTCGAGCGTTATAATCAATGTTGATGATCTTCTGAGAATAACTGGACGCTATTTTTTCCCCTCACATTAATTAATTTTACCTGAATGGTTATGTACTACGCTATTTTTATATTTATATTATTTATATATATTTTTTATTTTTTCCTTCCTTATTACTCCACACACCAGTCTAAAGGATTTCATCTCCGCTCCATAAACTTTTTAATCCGTCTTTCTTTTCATAACTGTTGAGGGTCGAAAATGTTCATGTCTTCTCGCGTCCTAGATGGGGCGAGAGTGTCAGACTCTTACTGAATAAAAACCACCCCGTCCCTTCTCCTGCTCAGGGCCGGGGCCATAGTAGATTATTGTTCGTACACCGCCAACCCTGGACCTTTTTTTTTTATCTAATATCTCGGCAAGCGAGCAGACGGATTACCTGATGGTAAGCAATCAGCGCCGCCCATGGACACTCGCAAGGATGGAGGAGTTACGAGTGCGTTGCCGACCTTTTAGGGATTAGGGATTAGGGATTTGGAGATTTAGGGATTGAGGAGGGATTGGGGAAGAGGAAGGATTGGACCTTTATCTAAACATAGAATTAATTCTGTTTCTTTCAAAATAAGTTTTGTATACTGCCTGTTATTGTTTAGCACGCTATGTCGACAAGTATGGCTATGGCCAATAGGTTAGGCCTGCTTCTCATGCATGAGGGTGGTGAGGGTGGTTTCGAAGCAAAACCTGATAAGTACCAAAGTCAAATCATTAATTGGTGGTGATAATTCCGGTTCGGTCTGTCAGTTAAGAGTGCTTATGTTGAGTAAAAAGTTTTATTAAAAACCGTTCAGTAGTTTTCATTTCGTTTTTACTTCAAAGATGGCATAAAAACGCGTTTAAGCTGGTTTAAAATGAGTTTTCTCAAACTGCAACTTTCTGAAAAAACCTAAGGGTTTTTCCGAGTAGATACATTTTTATATTATGTAGGTAATTTTGTTGTAAAATATATAAAATAAAATAATTATAAATAACACACGGTAATTCGTACCATATGCAATACGTAATAGATAACCCATTTATACATAATGTTGGATTGCTATAATTTATAATATTCGTGTCATTTATCCTTATTTTTAACGTGAAATACATTAAGTGCTATAAATACATATTAATTATATTAGGTATACAGGTAAACATGATTGGATTTTTTTCTACTACCATGATGTGTTTATTCCATTCTGAAAAGATTAGTTTGTAGCCTATATGTATACTTAAATATGCTTTAGTACCATCATATAAAGTCTATATTTTCATAACAGAACATCACATATTTTAATACGTCAACGTGGTATGCATAGAGCTCATGTATGCGCAGTTTCGGTTAGTAAGGAAAATAATAAGATTGACAGGATACCGTTATTTTCCTGAAGCTTCGTGTATGATAGACTTAAGGCTGATGTTTCAAAAGTCAGATGAATGTTATCTGAGGAATAAAATTGTTGCTGTCACTGTCTTATACAAACATTCTGTCGCGACAGCATCATAATTATTCCCCATGTAACTTTTATCTTACCATTGAAAAATCAGTCCTTATTATCGAACACTCGATATAGGTACATTCTACAGAGTTCTGGTATTGCATATTTAAAAATATTTCCACAACGTATTTAATATTTAGCCTTATTTTGATACAAAAATACTCGTAATGATTAAACATATTATGTACCTTTCTTTTTTCAAATATGTAATGATGAGTGAGCATTAGTAATCTTATTTTATGATGAGTCATCAGTCCAATTCTGTTGTAAAACCATAATAGGTAAATTGTTCTAAATTTGAAAAAGTCAAAAGAAATGGTCGGCGTTCATAAAATAAATGGCCAGCTATTTTCTACGCACGTAGGTGGATACAATTATATTTTGTAAAAACGTATATTATTTTTTTATTCCAACTAGTTATATACGTTAAAATTGATTTTCACTGTTTTCAGATTCATATAAGGCTTTATTATTTCTCTTACATTTTATATGAGAACTCGGTCAAAATTAACAGAATTACTTATAATTATGATATCGATGTAATATATTACACACATGAAGTATACTCTATTCATCTTTAAACTTAAAATATTTTGCAATGGAATACAGTTGCGTAAGCCTTTTGCGTATTACTTTGTAGAAAGGATGAAACCATTATATATAACTCAGAGGAAGACTTCGATCTCAAAGTTTTGCCATGTAAAATGCAATATTCCAATAAAAATCGCACGGACAAAGACTACACGAGTAGTTCCCGATAGACATATTCCCGTTCCTATATTTATTTATTTATAGGGTGTCGACATAACAAAGATCCTTTTCCATAAAAATATATATTGCGCATCAAGTATTTTGTTCATAAAATGATTTTTTCGAATGTAACGTTAAAAAACGAGCTTCTTGATGTCCACCACACAATGTACCTATACCTACTTAATGCACAATTTTATTATGTAGCCTTAATGATTGTTTTCCACTGACCTGAGTCGACTGGCGCTATATCTGGACCGTCGTGAGGCGCTAGCATCTTCATTGTGATGGCACCTGGCAGCACGCTACTTGACACCGACACCGTGGCGAATTACTTCACAATTTCACCCGAAAAAACGACGATTATTCGGGAAAATAAGGGAAAATAACCGGAGCCCAACAGGCTGTTTCGACACTGCACTATCGATTGAAGGTCTAAGGGGAGTCACGCATGCGTGCGGCGAGGGAACTTCGCGCCTGCGAACTCGCCCCGCGCCGCCATATTTGCCCGGAAAGACGTCACATGACAGTTGACAGTTTTAAGGCGCGTTTCCGCTGTTAATAATTGACTCGCCATATTATTTTCCAATGACTAATGTGTTTATACGCCTTCCCGTTCGGGAAATGGATGGATGTATTTCAGTAATTTTTATAAATTGTTTCTTTTGATAACCGTTTCGGTAGTAGATTAAGCAAGCAAGTTTCTAAATAGATATTTTGGGTTTTTATTGTTGTGTTTAGAGAATATATTTATGCTTCTTTTACGTATGACATCAGAATAAAGTTTTCTTATCACAATATTTCGGACAGTATGATGTTTGATTACTTATAATAAATAATTTACTTATTTAATGCTCTTATTTAAAAGTTAAAAAATAACTGTAATATCAAAGTAAAATTTTTGTGAACCCGTTATTCTCCTTCTAGGTTGAAGAACTATAGGAAGTTATTAAAAAAATAAAACAAAGAAGAGATCTTGTTATAAATTAATTTTATTGAAAATCGTAAATAAATTTACATAATATATTAATAAATATTACATCACGTGTACAAACGTATTTGTTTTCTGTATAGTGTGTATGTGGCGGTGGCAGCGAGCTGCGTGTGTGTACGTGTGTTGTTTGTGTGTGTGAATGTGTGGAAGGAGTGGGTGTCTAGTATCCGGCCAGCTCAGCAAAGGTGGAGTCCATCTCGTCAGCCAAGCTCTTGTATCTGTCCTTGTTGATTCCGAGCTCATCTGTTAACATACACCAATGTTACAACTCTAGCCTAACTTGTTCACCAACATGGAACTTTACAGGGAACTTTTAAAACGTTCAACTGAACTCCACAACCCGTAGAAGTGTCTTTCTTAAATGACAGCAAATAGCTCTTAATTGTGGGTGTGACATAGTCGAAAAGAAATAAAAGTTCCCGTCAAGCCCCCTACTGGATTTATTAATGGTAAACTAATAAGGGAAGGTTCTCTGCAATTGGAAAATCTAAAACCTTAAATGTTTCTTCACGTAAAAGGAAGATTTTTCAAGTTACAATTAGAAGAGAAGACATCGTTAAACAAGATCAGTGTAGGAATTCTATTTTATATTATTAGGGTTGTTACTTTCTTTAGGAAGTTCTTTATAACACATTTATGGCACAAGCGACAGCTTTATAGATCATTTTATATAGAAATAGAATTAAGAGATTATGAAAGAACCAACATTACCTTGGAAGCATTGGTCCGCGGCGGTAGCAGCAAAGCGAAAGACATGTTAGTCACAAACAGACAAAGCAGGGCTCAACACGACGCCCCTACAGGGTCGTGGACATACAATACACTACAGATATAATATGCTGTTTGTCGACAACCCTGCAGGCAGCGAGCAGGTTAGGCGTTAGAAGAAACAGTTTAAGAGACTCTGAAATGTATGGAACTCGTTCAGACAGCAATCTACAGTCGGGCTAAACAATGAACTTGTACAGGGTCGAGACGATGCAAGGTGACGTATCAAAATGGACTTTAAGGTGATGTGATTCGGACGGTATTGACTTAAACTATGTGCTGTAAGGGCTGGTTAGTATCCTGTCAGCTCGGCGAATGTGCCGTCCAAGTCATCGCATATCGCCTTGTATTTCTCCTTCTCGTTGAATAATGCGTCTGTAAAATTTAGTCATTTGATAACAACTTACGAAACGAACCAACTTCATCCCGCCTCTGGACTTACAGTTATAAGAAAAAAAATGAGTTTTTATTAGAAAAGTTTTGATTAAAAAGCTTTTGCAACGAGAGAAGCCATAGTATCTCTCTTTTTGTTAGAATCGTTATCAAGTTATCATTATAGAAGATTTCGTTACTTGATATTTAGATTTGTTTAGTTGAATATTTCAAGTCGGAAAGATCTTAATTTTTATCTTATCGATAGATTTAAGTCGATCGTATTGGTTACTAGAGTATGGTGGTTGGTCAGAGTCCTACCTTCGAGCCTGTCAACCTCCTTCTGCAGTTTCTTGACAGTCTTCTCTGCGAACTCGGCGCGGGCCTCGGCCTCCTTGAGTTTGCTAGTGAGGGTCTTCAGCTGCTTCTTGAACTCTTCGACACGCTGGTTGGCCTTCTCTTCTGATACTTCCAGAGATTTCAGGGAGTTACCTACGACCTGGATCACAAGTAAATATTATTAGTTCTCCTATATTGGTACTGCTCTCTTCCTATTATGTCTATGGAAATGGAATATAAAATTTTAAACGGGCATCTCTTTTTTATGTGATATGTGATCCTAAAATTCTATTTTCTTTAACTATAAAAAGTACTATTAAAATTTTCTTACCTTTAATTCCTCCTCAAGTTCTGAGATCTTGGCGTCTCCAGACTTGACACGGTCCTCAGCTACTTCGAGCTCGTCTTCAACGAAGGCCAGCTTGCGTGATACCTGGGCATCAAGTGACATCGTTTGTAATTTCCATAAAAGCTAATGTTTCTTATAAGGTATTTTCTTTCATTGACATGTCAGATCTCAGTTCTTTCTTTTTTCAAAATTATTTTATCAATGCCATTTTTCGTTGTAATATTATAACTCAACAATGCCTTTATCGATTTGTCTAATTTTGGTCTTTATCATTCGTGGAAGACCAAAAAAGAATTGTATGTAGAGATATTTTAAAAAAAAATCTTGAAAGAGTAAGAGCCGCGGGCTATCGCTAGTTAATTTTAAAAATTACGTCACTGTGGTAACTATAGAATGTATGTAGATATATTTCTGTATCTTGTATTATACTATACTTACATCAACAACATTTTTTTAAGGATACGAAATGTCATATTAAATGAATAATACTAGTTTGACATTTTAAGACTACGTGAGTTATAAGTCTCACCTCGTCGGACTTGCCGTCAGCGTCCTCAGCGAGCAGACGGGCTTCCTTCAGCTGGTTGGTGAGCTGGTCCATGCGCTCCTCGTCCTGCTGTGCCCTGTTCTCCAACACTTTGCACATACTGAAAACAAACAAACACACATTTAGATGTCATACTACACCATTGTCACTCAAATTATCAATAATAAATACGAGTGCCATGTTTCGGCACGACTACATTAGCTCGACTACCTCATAGAAGACCGGTGCGAAACAACCACGTATGTGATCCCTCCCCAATACCCAAATCTCTAAAACCCTAATCTCAAAAGGCCTGCAACGTACTCGCAACTTCTCGGGTGTTGCTTACCATAAGGTAATCTGTTTACTTATTTGCCGAGCTATCACATAAAAAAATCGTTTAATCAAACTTAAATATTATGGGAAATGCTCGTATCGAACACATTTGTTTGATTTGATTTAATTAGTAATAATTTAATCTGCTACTTTGCCACGGATCGAATATATCTATGTAAAACTACTTTTCTTCTTGAGGCGTAAAATCATGACATTATATCCCAGATTAGAAGTTCATCTAATAAAAGTATCTACGACTTCTGTCGACTTTTTCAAGGAAACACTAGAACGTGATGTTTTTATGTTTACATTACCTACTCAGATCTACGTAAACATTTCTGATGTATTTTTCACCAACTTATTATATAAGTAATATTTCATGAACTAATCTGAAATTCAGAACTTGTATCTAATTATAGTGCGGCACGTGAGCCAACTGTTGCGTTCTTAATAAATCAAACACAGACGGAAAAATTACGATGTAAAATACTGTAACAGGAATACTTTCAGATCTCTAGGTCGTAGTAATAAGTTAAAAAGAAAAAGTTGGGGTTGCCAGCATTATTCAGATCGTTTGAATGTTACCGAAATTCATGTTTACCGCTTTGGTGATTTCCCTGGTGAAATTCTACATGAGATTTAAGTTATTTTTCGTTTTTCTTTTATTGACCCTAAATGACTACGTTTCAAGTTTCACTGAACACGAAATTCAGGTCTAATTTTATATAGAAAAACTTTTCCATATTTGAATTCAAAAGAATAGGAATCACGGAGTTGAAGACTTGTCTATTTTATGCATGTAAGTATATATTTGTTTTATGAGACGTCCGACTAATATAAAGACTTTTTTTTGACATCAGCTAGCTAAAAGACTACAATATAATCGAATGCAAATTAGATGACTGGTAGAAAATGCTTCTAGCATTAAGTCCTCCCATATGCAATTGTATATAAAGAATAAATAAATTCAAAGTCAAAATCAAATTATTCATCTAAACGCATTTGAGCGTCAAACAAAATTATTAAATACTTATAAGAACTTAAAAAGTACCTATTATCTGTCAGTCTGTCCTCTAGTGAAGCTACATACACAGTGTAGAACGAGCAATAAAAATCCATGACTATTCTTTTTAAATCAGTTTAACAATTAAACTCTCAAGTTTATCTGCCGAAGAGCTATAGATTGAACTGATAGCAAAGAGACAAACTAATAACAAGAAACAGAAGTTACATTTAGATATATTGGTGGAAACTTAATTCCATCTTACCGGTTGTTCTCGTCAGCAGACTGCTGGGCTTCGAGCAGCTTCTGCTGGGCGGTGCCTGACCTCTCCTCGGACTTCTCTAGGTCCTCCTCAATCTGCTGCACCTTCCTGTTGAGGGCAGCGACCTCAGCCTCAGTGGCGGTTAAGGTCTTCTCCTTCTCTTCCAAGTCCTTGTTGGCCTGTTCCAACTTGTTCTTGTTGAGGATCAGGTCCTCCTCCACCTGGGCGAGCTTCTTCTGGAGCTCACGGACTTCCTCGTTGACCTGGAAGAAGGAAACATTTTTTTTTAGTACCAGCCAGATGAAACCTATGAGGCCCTTGTAGCGACTACCACATCGTACTCCAGACAAGGTCGAAAAATAAGAAAAGAGAATGGTTCGATGTAAAAAAAGTTCAGCATTGACCCTTAATAAATTCCTCAACTTTGGTCAGCTAATACATTTACATAACCCTGATCCCAATAAACATTGAAAATCCTTTACTCGGAATCGTGGAAAATTCCCGTTGGTATGTGTAATATTACCAAAAGCCCTAAGCCTATGATGTGATAACAATAAATATGTTAATACGAAATCCATTCAAAGAAATTGTACCTAATCTGATAATTTGTGGAAATCTTTCTTAACATTTCTCTCAATATGACTAAAAATAGTTTTTGCGTGGGATAAAAATGGAACGAGCCTATTATATTAAGGCAGATTTATTTGTCGCGATTCTAGAGCGCCCTAGTAAAAAGTAAATTTATCGTTAAACGTTAAGAATATAGAACATCTTTTATTTTTGCGCGACCTTCTCAGCCGTTTATCCTAAAGAAACCGTTGGAGTCGAGACAACACCGATAAAAGGGACTACCCTTAATAAATATTAGATAAACACTGGAGATGCCAGACGAGGTGATTTTGTTCAGTTATTTTTCGTATAAATTCTAAATATGTACAAATATTTGCTAATTCCTTGTGATCGAAAAATAGGTTTGATTACTAGTTTTATTTTGAACTGGAGTTGCTGACAAATTATTTAAAATAACAGGGATATCTTATCTTAAATCTTACTTATATTCTAAATGCGAAAGTTACGATGCTAAAATGTTTGTTACTCAATCACGCCTAAACGGCTTGATGGATCTGGATTAAATTTGAAACAGGCATAGGATACACGCCAGAATATGACATAGGCTACTTTTTATCAACATACAAAATAGGCGGGCAAAGCCGCGGTGTAAGCTAGTTCTAAATATCTTCATATATTCCCTGTTTTTTTTATCAAAAAAGTAGGTTTGATTAACTAGTTTTATTATCAACTATAGTTGCTGACACATTCTTGGAAATAACAGGTATATTACTATTAAAGTAAGAGTATTATTCAAATAAGAGTCGTTACAATTCAATAGCAGGATTTTGAGTTAAGTTTTCAAAATATTTTGAGATTACCTTCTCGGCGCGGAGGTTGGCGTCCCTAGCCTGCTGTTCGCAGGTGTCGGCCTTGTCCATGGCGTTGTCCTTCTCCAGCTTCATCGCCTGCATCTTCTTCTTAATCGCGTCCATGGTGGCGGCTTTGTGTCTTTACGGTCCGGTCGAAAAAATACGCCAGTTACGGCCTGCAAACAGACATTGTATTCAAAAAAAGAATTGTCTATGATCGTCCTTTGTTTTTTTTTTCTTAAATGTACCTAGTGGCTCGGGTTGGCGGGCTTTTTTTTATTTTTCTATTTATTTTTAAATCTTAGTGTTTTTAACATATAATCCTATGCTATTGTTTTTTAATAAATTCATAATATTATATACCTACGGCTAAACAACAAAACATTGTTTATTACAATAGAAAATCGCTTACAAGCCCTAAAAACTTAGTAACTGAATTGTGTTCAGCGAACTAGTTTCCGTGTACAAGCTAGGGATTTAATAAAGCCAGCACTCTGCCACGGAACTATATATGACTGGAAAGTTAATTGAAATCGTGACAATACAGCAACCACCATACCTACGTACGTAGTCCAATCTGCGCTGTGAGATGAAATCTCATGTCGCTAGGATCTTAAGATTATATTGGATCTCAACAACACTGTGTAGGAGAAGTAGAGTGTAATTGTAATTGAATTTAGTCTTTTTTTACGTAGATGTAAGATATGCCAGTTTTAAATACCTTTCAGGACCATTATATACCTACCCTTTTTTCATGTGATAGGGTGGTGAACGAGCGAATGGATTACCTGATGGTACCGACAACTCCAAATCCGTAACCGACACCTGCAATTCTTAAGGATTCACTAGTAGCCGGTTACGGATTTGGAGATTGGGGATAGGTTTTGAGGTTATTTGTAGCTATTGAAAATCTTTAAACATTATTTGATATTTAGATATTATTAATAATTGCGTCATCACATAAGATGTAAGCCAAAACTCTTCCATGAAGTTCTACATATAAAAATAAAAAAGAACTTCAATTCCAATTTCGAAAGTTTAAACTGTAGCTATTCGATATGGCAGCGCGCCAAGTTGCCAGATGTAGCGCACAATTATTGGGTCTACGTTCCTGGGGGTCTACTCTCTTTCTTCGAAACGAAACTTTCGGAAACGAACGAAAGTCGAACGAAAGAACGTTGACGACCCTACTCTGTTTTATTTTCGGACACGCATACGAAGTTCGATCCAGAGATAATTTTCGTGAACGAATGTAATTGTGTAGGTTCTTTATAATGTGATTTGTGGTAAATTACGGTTTTTACTTAAAGTTAAAATTACAAATTCTCTGGCTGTTTCTTTAAATTCCACATTATATATGTGGTTTGTAAAACTATTACTTATAATATGCCACGCAGAAAATTAAAATATATTTATGTTTGACGGAATTGTAATTTATCGTGTAATTTATCATCGTTACCTTATAAAACACTCTTTTACAGACATTTATAACCGACTAATTTATAGAGTACTATTTTATGCCAAGAAAGGGTTGTTATGTATGACGACCAAAAATGGCTGTATTCGGACCGTGCACGACATGTGTCAAAAAATTAATGTCAACAGATTGTTTATTTTTATCAATGTACCAGTTAATATTAATATACTATAAAAGACAATAAATATATGTGGTGAAAGGAATTTTATTGAATTGTATATATTGAATTGTATAAAAAATGGATATTATTAAAAAAAACATGATTTGACACACAATCATTTTCCAACCCCAGACTGTGCTAAAAGGTAAAATTGGTGTTAGAAGAACATGTGAGGGATGTGGAAGACCGGACACGGGTGTTTCGGGAAGTACCTGTGTCGCATAGGCCGGGAGCCGACGTCTCAGTGCCACCATTGTGGTAATTGCCGCGACGATACGGCGCTGCATACGTTGGCGGAATGTCCAGCTTGGGCCGAGCAGCGCCGTGACCTGGTCGCGGCCGTAGGTGCTACGGGAGATCTCTCGCTTCCGGCTGTAGTGTCTACTATGGTCGGGAGCGAGTCAGGGTGGAGTGCCGTCGCTATCTTTTGCGAGGCCGTGATGCTCGCAAAGGAGGCGGCGGAAAGGGAGAGAGAGGCTGCCTCCTCTCTTCCCTCCCGCAGCAGACGCACTAGACGTCGTAGAGTGGCCGACCTGCGGCCACCGTAGGGCGCGGCCTGTGGACGACAGACTCGGGGCGTCTAGTCGTCCGACCAGCAGCAGGCCTCGAGGCGGCGGTGCCGTGTTCCGCGCGCGCCTCATAGTGGAGTCCTGCGGTCGGGGTGACGGCCGCAGTGGGTGACGGGGCCCGCCTTACCATCTGGCGGGCCAATACCCGTCGGGGGGTTGCGACGAATGCTTCGGCGATACCCGCCCCTCCGACACATGGGTTATTGGAGGAACACCGGGTTGGTTTTTAGTCAGTAAGAGTCTGACAGTACCCTTCGCCCTTACCCCGAGGGCGGTGGGTCTCCATGAGGATTTTCCAACCCGACACCAAAAAAAAAAAAAAAAAAAAATAAAAAAAAAAAAAAAAAAAAAAAAAATTTCGTTGAATTTGATAAAAATGTATACAATGTTAATTAAAACAATTTTAAAAAAATGTAATAGAATAACACTCATGTTCAATTACAAATGTATGTAACTGGGATGGCAATGTGTGATATTTTTATTTTGAGCATTATTTGGTAAATCCGAATAATCGGAGTACCTACATGCAAACATATCATAACAATAACATACAACTTATGAGTTTTTGTTTGAAAACTTTTCTAAAAGTTAGTTTCTCGTAGCTCCCAAAATAATAGGCGACTGTCCTACAAACTCTAAGTCGGGAATTTGACTTAGGTATAATATGTAGATTGCGCAGGTAGCGCCGGTTGTTCCTTCTACGCTCTACACGTTCTTCACGCAAAAGAGCTTCGATTTAAAGCATTCTTGTAGCCATTTCAAATAATTTTCATACAAAATCCACACTAAACGAAAATTAAAAGGTAACACTTTTGGTTTCGTCAATTTGAAGTTAAAAATCCGAAAAATCGTCTGTCAAATTCAAAAGTTCGTTCGGAGCTAATAAGGATTAGAGTAGGTTCTAAATGTCAAAAAATTTCGTTCGAACGATATTTCGGAACGAATTGAAACTGTGGTAGGAAAGACGCGAAGTTTCGATCGAAAGTTCGTTTTTCGTAAAATAAGAGTAGACGCCCTGATTCTAAATTATATACCAACCTAATTACGAAGATATGGCACACTTGGTCTGATGAAATATTGGTACGGGACCCCTGTTTTGGGGATTCGGGAGAATGTGACCCTCGTTTTGAGACGTTACGGGTGAAAATAATAGGTACCTAGGTATTTGCTGTACAAAATAATGAGATTTGTGGATCTGTCAGTTCATTTTTTGAGTTACATCGGTTCTAATTTTAAACAAAACCGGAACTCAGTGTTTGTTTCTTAAAAAGAGGCGCAAATATTCGAAATTAAAAAAGTACTTTAGAATCCTCCTTTTTTCTTGGTTCCTTTAAAATAGAAACTCTTTTGTTGAAAATGTTTAATAAATCGCCATTAGCTAGCTTCATTTGTTCATTTCATTTTTCACTTTAACAGCTGATAATAATTACTAACAGCCTGAATAATAAAATCTGCCATTTAAACAAACGGCTAGAGCATAATTCAGGCGATTACTTGATCAGCTAATCAAGCTAGATGTCTCCTACAGGTTTATTTATTACCGTTTTCATAATTGTTATCTAAGTTCTACATACCTACTTTAACTTAGAAAATACTTGTTTTCACATTAAATTTTCTAAGTAATTCATAAGTTTCAAAAAACAAGCTCCGTGCCAATAGCTTACAAACGTCGGCAAACTTCTCACTTTATTGGTTACAATTTAATTAATTTCACTCCGTGACTTTGTTGCTCAGCTGTTGTATTTTAACTTTATTCAATAATCCTGAGGACAAATAGGTTCATATTCTATGTAAGTAAGCAGATTATATGAGTCTGTTTTGAGAGGAGAAATCAAATGTCTTCCGGCGAGACGAGAGGGAGTTTCAGAGTCTTACTGACTAAAAACTGCCCCGTTCCTTTTCATGTTCTAGTCAGAAGTCGCGGGTTTTAACACGCAACTCCAGCTGACACGAATTTAAGCGTCTTTCACCACCTTCATATAAGTTCCCGGTAAACATATGTGGATGATATTTCACAGATTGCATTCTACATTCAAATGTATGTGCCCAAAACAAGCCCTTAGTCAGATTTATATTACATACTTTTTTGAACAAATTCTTGGCCGTTTTTTTTTGTTAGGCGGGTTTGTGGAACATTTTCATTAATCTGATGATGAATACCTACACTACATAGTGAGGATAGAAAATCAACTCCCGCCTCCCAAAAACTCGTTATTTTCACACGTCTTTTCACAAACAATATTTGGACAATAATCTGTGACCACTAATTACGAAAAACCTTCGACATTTCGTCATGTTTAAAAATATTAGTTGTATCTATGGTTGTTGGTCTAGAGTGGGTGTTTAACTGTGGTGTGACGTCACAAATGACGTCCATGTTTACAAATTTTATAGAATGTATCGAGCTGTTAAAACTTTTTAAATAGATTGGCGTCGGCGACGTCCATAGATACAGAGTGTATTTTTCTTATGTGCTTATTTGTTTTTGTAACCGACGGATGTATCAGCTTTCTTAATGTGTGTCTCGTGTGGGTAGAGTTATATTTTATACAGACTTAGATACTACTTAATATGTTTATTTTCAGTTACTTTGATTTAACACTGAATACAGTTTCATGTGTAAAATTTTATTAAGAAGTGAAAAAGCTAGCTTCTAAGTTACAAACTGTTCTTAACAAATTGTAAACCAAACTTTTCTTTACTGTCTTTCGAAATAAATGAATATCGCACAAGTTGTTCTTTTTTTAAACGTTGTTCCGTAATTGGATTTTCGCCTGTGTTGTGGTTACGTTGACAAACATACAATTGCACATAACACTAGAACCGAAACCAGGATTTATCAGAGCGGGAATCGAACTCACGATGAGTTGCACAGCAGCTAGTAGCTACGGAAGTTGTCGTATCATATTTTATGACAACATTTGATTTTAGATAGGTATAAATAATATCAATGAGTGTTGATTTCTTAACAAGCCTTCTTTATTCCAAGATTTAAAAAATACTATAAGACTTTGTTGATCGAAAACTGTCTAAAGTTTAATAGCTAGCTTTGTGGCTAAAAGAATTGTATCAAAAACAATCCTAATATTTAAAAGGTTCATTAATGAGTATTTCTTCGTTGAATCATCAGTAGCCGATTGTTTCCTAACTAAACTATATTCTGTTATTGATTAGTTAACGAGATGAGAGCACCGACAGCTTGGTTTGTTTACAATAAAGAAAGGAATGGGGCTCCGTCAATATTTTTGGAGAGTTATCGAATACACAAAACTTTTCAAGGGCATTTTTTGCGGATCTTGTGTAGATTACGAAATATGAGATAAAACTTGTTTTATGTGTGGTTTTGTGTTAAAAGCAGAAAATTGTATATACATATGTATATGATTATACACATACTTATCATTAGAAATTTACATTTTTTGATAGTTTCGGCAAACCTTTTGTATGTTTAGTTTTTGTATGTTATCTTATTATAAAGCTAAATGACAGCAAAATAACAAATTTTTGGTTGTCGTTAATTTGCATGTGCTTTTATTTCACGTTTTTTCCATTTTAAGCAATAACGTTTTAAAAGCTTTCAAAACATTACATTCTCTGTAAAATTGAATTTTCAAAATACGATCAAACATTCCGTTTTAACGTCCATTCCAGGCTGCCATTAAATTTGTGTAAAACGAACCAGAAACCTGCGCACGCGGCGATTGGGTAAAGTTGCGAAAATAACGCGCGTTGCCGCCCGGTGACGTGTTGCTGGCGATCTGACAACACCACCGACATATTGTTCACAAAAATAACCGTGTTTTCCCATCACTACAGCTGTTGCACTGAACTAAATATAATTCAGGAATTTTAGCACGAACGCTAATTTACGTATCGTTTACTGCTTTACCTAACTTGGTTGTCAATGGATATCGGTTTGTTGTTGCCGTATTACTTACAATGAGAGAATATTTTCTGATATTAAGTATCATGGTGACATATTGTAGTCATGTGTCTAATTAAATAATCTATGCTGAGCGTCTAATGTTATTTTCTTTGAAAACAATCTTATCTATATTAAAAGTGTCACTCTTCCTTTTTTTTCTTCCATCATCAGAAAACATCTGCTTATTAGATGTAATAATTTGTGTCCTTTACTTTCAATCTCATTCGAAGATATTTTAATCGTAACCTTAGTCACCAAAGAGTTCTAATGTGGAACTTTATTTCAAAAAAATGCATTGATCTTTCAATTACTTGATATTGGTTAAATCGCCTCCTTCAATATCTAAAGTTCACCGTTCCCATTACGTTAGCTTTGAAGATTTGGATTTGTGAGTAAGCTTTACAGTTTTGTTGCAGTCTTAACACGGTTAAACTTCAATGGATAATAAAAAATAATACTCATAATGTTGAAGCGGTGTTCTTAAATATCGTCTATAGATATTTAAAAGCAACTATGTAGATAATTCATTGTTTAATCCCTGTAACATTGTTAAATACTGAAGTAGGTACTTTCAATATTTTTTTTTCTATTAACTCTTCAGTGTATTCCTATTGCATATTCTATTATATTCTTTTACAGGCAATGTAAACAATACGTCAGACAACGTAATTAATGTTATTATTGATTCATAAACAATTACCTAGCCAAATGTTAAACTTGAAAGTATAACTTGGCAGTCAATAGTCTCTTCTTGGTCGAAATTAAAAAAAAAATTAAAATACTTGGTTGTTTCAATTAATTATGAATCTTAGGTACTCTTCGTTTTAGTCGAGTTTAAAAAAGACTAATAATTTAAGTAATAAGAAAATTTAAATTAAGTGAAAGTTATCATAATATTATTTTATTTTAAATTTCTAGAATGTAGTTATCTGTCAAAAGTCAAACGCCTGAAGGCGAGTGTAAGAAAATTTTCAAAGTTTCGTAACTTGTGGGTAGTACTACAGACTTAAGTAAGCAAGTAAGTTTGAACTCAAACAATAGCTTGGTTGTTTTGTTGTATTTTGAATCCACGTGTACCTATACATTGTATTAAAATAATTTTCAAAGCAAGTGAATTTTTTACATCCATCTTAAAAAAAAGTTTTAAACTTCGAACTGTCAAAGCTGAATTAGCATGAATACTTACCTAATAGAAAAGAAGCCGAATTCAAAAAAGAAGGTACTTGAATGTTAAAAATTATGTTTCACTAATAAGTTTCAATTTTGAATGACCCTCTTTTATGAGGAAGTGCTGTTCTTTATTCGAATTTAAGATTTTCTGCAATTTGGAGAGACCTATTGTTATAGGTCGATTGAGTTTGATGGTATCCGATAAAAACAATACGTGACGTCATCACGGGACAATAAAATAATTAGAGCAAGTTATTTCTTTTTATATAAAACTAATAATGTGGGAATGAGTAAAATATTTAACAATTGACAATATATATATCGGAATGCATAAAGAAAACATGTCGTTAAATAATCTATTAAAATGAAACTCGAAACGATATTTAAAAAAATCAGATAATTATTACGAAAGCTATAATTGTAACTATCTTCTGAATTTCAGGGATAGTTCAGCTTGTATGTGCCTAATAGTAGGCTCTTTGATGAGGTGCCAACTTTCAGTTTCAGGCGCGCCCGTAATGACGTGTTCGAATAACTACCGCCATCTCTCATAATTTAATCCCGTCTGATCTATCGTTACAGGTAGCAAAAGTTTCTTACATGTGTCAGTAGGTGTCTATGAATAATTTCAGGTACTGTGGTTACATTTTAAAAGCTTTTACTGCCGCGCTTCGGTTAGTCAACTATTTGTATTCTACTTTCGTAACTAGTACCTAGTAATCAATCTAGCTTCCTACACTTGTAAATTATTAAGTGTGTACTGTCAAATGTAAACATGTGTAGGCTGTGACTACGTATGTGATTTAAATATATAACAGCTATTCTAGTATTCTAGTCCTAAATGTAAATCTAAACATTCATCAATATCCATTATGTCAATGACTTTCCAGCAAGTTCCAAATAGCTGGACAGTCTCAGCTGTAATCGGAAACCAAACATCAGTAAACAAGAGAGAGCGGACCGAACGTCCTAATTACACGATATATGGGCCACGACTGAGGCTAAATAAAAATTGAGACGAGTTTCCTCATCTTGCTAAATAAATACTGATGTTCGGGCATGCCGCAAATAGGTTACAAGCGGTGTGAGCGCGCGGCGTGGGCGGCGCGCGGGGACTCACTATTTTCAGCGAGGACGCGCGAACGATGAAACCCGAGTCATATCCATGGAACGGGTGAGCCGCGCGCGCGCCGCCCCGCTTTACCCGCAGCAACTGACACTTAATGCACACTGACTTACTGGCGTACTAACAAGAGATATGCCAACCCGAGCCAGAAAATACAGAACAACGTATCACAGAACAAAAGCACAGGATCGCCGAGATAAAATCCAGGAGCTTGGATACTCCACACACGAGGGCACTTTGTGTCACAGTCTGGCACAGTCCTGGGCCGGTCCGGTGCGGTGGCAGGGTCGGGTGAAGTATCCAAGCTGCCGGCGTGGCGGAGCGCCCGCTGCACTCACCTCACGAGCGGGCTGTTCACACGGCGGAGCGACACGCACTGCGCCGCGCCCGCCCTCGCGGTTTCGCCGCGCTCCCACCCGACTATTTTCGGTGCCAAAAATCCAGGATTCCGATCCAGCATCGCAATCGCAACGAACATGCCGACCGCCACCCGTCACGCTCCCACACACGGCTTCACCACTATTTTTGCTACGATCGCTAACAGACGAGCCTGCGGCGACGTCGGCGGATGTGAATATCGAGTAGATTGATCTATCGTTGATATAAAAACACCTCTCGCTGTCAATGCCGCCTATATCGATCAGGTGGCACTGTCCTGCTCGCGCGACGCTTACACTCGTGTTGCAGATTCCCCAAATTCCGCGAGCCATCCGGCTGCCCGACCCCACTATATTTAGCGTAATACCACACTTCATTGAGATCGACACGCGGCTTTCATTTGAAACTAATAGCAGCACAACGATTAGTATTTGGCTATTGATGATATACGTTTGTTTGGCTGTTAATTGTTGGATATTCCATTCACTTGTCTCGATCCGAGATCACGAATAGAATGGGCGCTCGAGTAATAGGACACCGTACACCAGGCTGATGTCCATTTCTGAATATAAATCACATTGAATGGTAAGCTTTACACTAACATAATTTATAGAAGCAAGTCTGGTAGAACAGACACAGACGAATTTAGGTTATTTAGATTAAGTTTGTATTATTTGTACGTTCTACTTTATCACTTACAGTAATAGACAGCGTGTGGTATATAATCGGGCAAGTACCTAGTTACTCTAAATACCCTCGCCAGTTCAAGGGCAACTCATCAATGTTACTAGGGTAGCGACTAGCAAGACGGCTCAGCTGGGTGAGCTTGATGTATAGACAGACGAGCCAACTTGTACAGTATGGTGACTAATAAATTATCGTTTACTTTGTTTTACATTAGGTATTTTAGCTACAGGCAAGACTGCCCAGCCCTTATTTGCTTACTGACTTTGTATATGTTTTTTCAACACATAAATAGCTGTGTTATAATTTTTGCATTGATTGATTTTAAGCTTAGTCATATAATTTCAACAGCTCAATTATAAATTAATAAAATTAACTATTATAATGACGTCACATTTTAGTAATTTGATACAAAATCCAACCAAATGTATCTGTTTTGAATTTAAAAAAAAATATTAAAATTGATTATTCATTCTTCCTATTTGGTTGTTTTATACTTTCTAATTTAATGTAATACTACGACTGAAGTTCCAAAACGTAACTTCACATAGATACGGTAGTTAACTTGCTTTTAAATTTGATGCTATTAAATTACTTTTCAGTTGACAAAATAAAATGTACCTAATACTAGAAATAACGCTAAAATGAAAAGAAAATACACAATAACACATTATCCATATAAACAAGCCACGGTTCGTGCCGGGCCAGTAATAATAAACCTAATAATTTCTAACCAATAACTTTGGAGGTTTATTTAAAATAACGACTTACTCACGTGAAAATTGAGAAAAGTTCAGGACGGAAGGAGGAGAGGAGAAGGAGCTTTCCTCAGTTAATTCACGTTAGTCGTTAATTACAATGAATTTAGTATCTCATGATAGTAGTTATTCAATTACGCAGGTAAAGACTTTCAGTGCTACGCTGCTACGCAGGTTCGTAGCACACCGTAGCACACTTGAATCCGTCTATAGAGTCCAGCTAAGCCTTTACATGTAGCGAGTGCAAGCGCAATTATGTAGGTACGGCTTGTCACTCAGCAGTCAGTTGTTGGCCCGGAGGTTAAGGCTCCCGCTTCTCATGAGAGTGCGGATCCGAAACCTGACTAGTACCAATGTCACTTTTTCCTAGTTATAAGGACCTTCTGTCTATAATTATTCATACACCACTGATATATCACTACTATACTGAACTTAAAATTTCAAATTACCGGTTGATGCTTAGGTTATGCATGATGATAGCCTGACTCGTTGTAAGAATGGTGTTTTGTATTCAGTTAATGTATCACACTTACTCTCGCCCGCACAGACCAGGAGAAGAAAAGTTAGTGATTTGTCACGCTCAAAAAAAAATTCGTTAGTTGGATGATTTTCCAACGTTAATATAAAAATTGTATGTGTTGTTTCATTGTCTTATACATCTTATCGTGACTTTTGTGAAGGTAGTGAAACAGACGCCGATTTTACATTTGGCCACTAACCTCAGAATCTACATGTGGTCTCCCGTCTCAAGTAGTATAGTATCAATTAATTTGTCGGTCCCATACATTTGATATTTAAGCAGTAACCACGTTGGTTGAAGCCATTTGTAAAATGAAACACCAATATTTTATTTCATATAAACTTTATTTTACAAGAGTGAACAATTTAAAGCGCTGATAGGTACTTCTTCTGAAGCTATGAAAGACTTACTGGAATGAAGAATAGACTGGACTTACGGATATATGAAGCATACATAATAAATTGACAATACACTTAACTTGTCGTACAAAATCTAAAAGCTAAATAATCGAGTACAAAACTTTTCAAATCTATTGATAGTATAATGTATGTAGGTACTTATAAATAAATGAACTGTCTTAAGTCACACTTTGATAGTAAATTGAACAATCATTCAGTTCATTGCTACTGTAAACCTTAAGCTATTGTGATAAGTCACATTTACGGATGGCTGAAAAAAATCGATGTATCCCAAAGTATGACTGAGACATCAAAAATAGTGCCTAAAACCCAAACTAAAAAAATCTCGTTACACTTTATCATAAGACTATGTTTTACGCGTATCATAAAAAACGGTATTAAAAAATTCGCAGCGCATTTACACAAAATTTCGCCAGTGTTATTAGGCGCATTCAATGCTACGTAAAACTGAGCTCTGAAGTAATAAAATAGCTGTATCTATTCTTCTATACATAATTTCTTTGCACGAATTCAGTTTACGATAACTTCTGGACTACTTTTAAAGGCTTGCTTTGAGTAAACGGAAAAACCAGTAGTTTCATGTTACACACGTGCCCAGTACTATTTCTTACGTAACATACACAAACAGTTACAAACCTCATGGAAACTAACTTAAAAGATGTTACCTTCTCGATAACGATATTTCTGTGTTCATCATACCTCTTTGGTATCAAATCCTACATGTCAAGATCTCAAGACCTGCCCAGTAAGGCAACTACCTAGCTAACAGTCTTGTCATAAAATTACTATAATTGTATATTCGAAAGGGCTTCTTTTCTTTTGTCTGAGACAACTTTTATATCGAACGTATTTACTGTCGTCACTCAGTTGGAAGAAACACTATCCTTAACAAACTTTAAATATTTATCATCATTGATTATAAATTGTTTTTTATTTTGGATCTTTCTCGTCCGATTGGCCCTACATATCTTTCAGGTCTAAGCATTTAGATGTAGGTCATGCAGCATTCGGTAGCTCTTATATCAAACTTCTTATAGAAAAATCATGTGAAAACTTGTGTGTGTCATCATATGAAAAGTTCGCATCAACCTCTTTTTCACTAAGTTATCACAATGAAATATTGTACAACAATGTAACTACTGGTTTCCATTTATTGCTTGCCAAATATTAGGAAAATGCGGAATTAATATCCAGAGCAAATAAGCCCAAAAACGTTTAGGACATCCAACATAAAACACACCATAAAAATCAATGGAAGTATCCAAAAAGTAATTTCAATGATAGTTCGGCAGTATTTCTCGACACTAAACTACATAATTGTACAAGTCTCAAAAATATTTATACAAATAGACATTTTGGTAACAACGATAACTGGACATCTTAATTTTGAATTATGCAACCGTTTCATTACAAATTGATATTGAGTTGTTTTGATAAGAAATAACAACTATTTACCTTTAGGAACGGTAAGGCATGGAATTACAGGTACCGATGAAATCTCTAAGGTAAGCATAAGTTCTCGTAATGAGAGAACAATCACATAGTTTAATGTATTGTAATATAGTTTCTGAGACTCTTCTGGCCCACACACAAACCACAGTCACATCAACCCATATCTCTCAAGAAATGTATATCTACTTACAGAATCCACACAGAGCCCAAAGACTAGGTACTATTCAGTTCAACACTCTCTGTTTATGAACGGTACCTAATCAAGCATTCCTAAGAATTCATCAGATACATTCAAAGTGCCGCGAAAAATAACATCCAAAGTGAACTATCGTTGAAACGAGACGTCCATTCTCAACGTGAGTTCTGTGCAAAGAATATACAGTCCATTATAAAGTACAATACATGAATGTATTTTCATAATTAATTAAATTGGATATTACTTTGTAAGACTTCATCTTTCATGTGTTGTTCTTTCATAATAGGCACGTTTTCGAAGCAATAAGTCACCGCAGTGCGCCCGCAGTCTTCCCGCCATTTCTCCGCAATATGGCGTGCGTGTCAAAGATGGCCGCCTTCAGGTTAGTACCCTGACAGATCAGCGAACGTCTGGTCCACCTCCTCCGCTATAGCCTTGTATTTACTGCGCTCTTCTACGACCTCGTCTGTTAGTAAAGTTAGTTGGTTAGTAACATATCAGTGTCCTATTCAAAAATTAGTAATTAATTATTGTTATTAATTTCACATGTATGGGGTCTTTCCAGAAAGGTTTGGTCCGTCTTTTGTTGGCTTGTCATATTTTCTGATTTACGTGAATTTTGTATGCGTGAAATGAAATCAGGCAGTGCATGCAACTAAAAAGTTGAACTCTACAAACTACAATAAGTACATAATTATGTAGATAACTTAAAAAGTCTAGCTACTTACCTAATTGAAACAGTTTTACTAATCGTAATACATTGATAGAATTGCCTAAACTAGTCTTTCTAAATACGACATTGGAACATTTAGGCCCCTTTCTAGAATGTTCATGATAGCTCTTAGAGATAGATAGAAGCCTGTAGCGTCCAGTTTTCCTTTAGTAAGAGTAAGCTATAACATTACTTATGTATTGTACCTATAAGATTAAGTTAGCTTATTGTCATACAATAGGGCGAAAATCAAAAGACAAAGTCAAAATCAAATCATTTATTCTAATTTGACTATTAAGAGCGATTTTGAACGTCAAACCAAACATTAAAGTATAAGAAATTAAAAAATGAAAAGTCTGTCGGTTTGTCCTCTTGTGAAGAAATTTGCTCGTTCCAAAGTATATATTTCTATGAAAAACAACGAGCAGAAAACTCCATGGTTACTCTTTTTCAATCCGTTTCACAATTCAATTCATTGTTCATTATAAAATCGGTTCTATTAAGCGAGAAAATTTTTATATTTATGTTTATCCAAAGAACCTGATAAAGGAAATTATCTTAAGTGCTTATATACATATTGAGACAAACTTTAGTCCGTGCTGCTAGTGAGAATATAAGGAAATGAAAGCTTTAGTAATACCTAACACTACCCTTTCAGAAACATCTATTTGATGCATCTTATCAAACACATTTTCAATAAAAATGCAAATATATATTGAATACTACACATCAACTACTTTGCCTACTAACTAGAAAGCATACTAATTACTATTTATATTTAAAGCAAGGTACTAGCAGTACTACTTTCCTACATGATACACAAATAAAACAAAAAACATAAGTAATAAATTAATTTATTATATTACTCGAAAATAAATACCGCCATAAAGCTATGGATTTTAATACTTTAAATTAGGAGTATAAAATATAAAGTACAATACAAAATGTATTCGGATATTTGATTGGCGGGGGCTGGTAGTCGCCGCGTGCCGGACGGACCCGAACATTACCGAACTTAACCGAACGTGCCAGTTTATTCCTTGAGGATGAGCTCCACGAAGGCGGTGTCCAGATCGTCTCCGATGTCCTTGTACTTCTCCTTCTCGGCGACAAGTTCGTCTGTGTATTGGGCACACAATTATATCATTTGTCCAAATATTAAAATTATTTCGAATAAAATGTATTTTAATCCTGCAATTTCTCAGTTTCCATTTGTAAAATAAACTTTCCTAAGTCAAGTCGTGTGGAAAATTAGTTGCAGCGTAAAGGCGGTTACAGACGGTATGATGTGTCGTACGATCACAACTCGTGACTTTGCCGGCAGTGCTACGTGCGAGCACGTTCTCGATCATGCTGATGGGTCGGTCCTCAGTTGGCGTGTTCAGCAAACAAATGCTGCAGTGTTACATGAAGTGCCACAACTTCTGTTTGTTAATAATCCGTCTGTAAGCGCGTTATTTTATCAGCGTAGCGGCAGTAGGTAGAAAAATTAAATGCTTACATGTGTGTATCCATGTTATTCTGAAGCCATGCGTCGGTCTCGCGCGGTTATAAAGCTTGCTTTTGTTTTTACGACGATAATGTAAGGTTCCAATTTGTTGTAATCTGGCATGCAAACTCAGTTAGAAAGCTTTCGGTAGTAGTTTTGTTAAGTTTTAATGATTGACTAGAAAATGAAGACGCGGTCGTGACGTAACGTAAATGCATGTAGCGGGCAGCGCGGCGCTCAGTGGCAGCACGTGCAGCGGTCGCAGCTGCGCGGCGTCGGCAGCGCGGCCGTGCGCAGGCCGAGGTCGTCGAACGCGCAGTCCAGCTCGCCACCGATCTCGTGGAACATCTCCTTGCTGGCGATCAGATCGTCTGCGGACAGCGGCGCGGTCACTCGCAGCGGCTCGACTACCGTTACTTGCCAATATCACACGCATGCAGACGCGAGGCCCAGCGGGGACCAAACGGGGAAGGAAATTCCATCAGCTATAGTTTGAGACATTTATTGCCAACATAAAAAATAAACTCCGAGACGATGTCGCACTATAATTACACCGGGATCACGACCCGGAACGCGGTAAAAGAGTAAATAGAGTCCGAAAATAACGAGCAAAGATTCGTCAAGCCTAAGATGGCGGCGCAGCTTCAGCAGGAGCGGCCTCCGCTGGAGGTGCGGCCGGGGCAGGTTCCGCTGCGGGCGCCGCGGGGGCAGCCTCCGCCGCGGCCGGCGCTGCTTCAGCTGGTGCTGGGGCTGCTGCAGGCGCGGGGGCGGCCGCTGCATCAGCCGCGGGTGCTCCCTCCGCTGCGGGCGCGGGAGGAGCACCCTCCGCAGGGGGTGCAGCTGCCGGCGCTCCCTCTGCTGGAGCGGCCGGAGCAGCACCCTCTGCGGGTGGAGCGGGTGCAGCTCCCTCCGCAGGGGCAGCTGGAGCAGCTCCGTCAGCGGGTGGAGCAGCTCCTTCTGCAGGGGGCGCAGCACCCTCAGCAGGAGGAGCAGCACCATCCGCGGGAGGAGCTGCCGGTGCCCCCTCAGCCGGAGGAGCCGCTCCATCAGCAGGCGGTGCAGCCCCATCAGCGGGAGGTACAGCTCCATCAGCGGGTGGCGCAGCTCCCTCGGCGGGGGGAACTGCGCCATCAGCGGGCGGAACTGCACCGTCGGCGGGTGGGGCTGCACCGTCGGCTGGGGGAGCAGCACCGTCTGCAGGGGCAGCTCCATCTGCGGGGGGCGCAGCAACGTCGGCTGGTGGGGCGACCGCTTCGGGCACGGGTTCGGGCACGGGCTCCTCGACCGGTGGGGGCGGCGGTGTGGGCTCCTTGGGGTGGAGGCGCTCGTACTCCTTGCGCGCGGCCTCCTGGATGACGGCCATCTGGCGTTCGTTGGGGTCGACGCCGGGGATGAGCTCCACGAAGGAGTCGTCGATGCCGTCGCTGATATCGTTGTACCGCTCGATCTCGTTGATGAGGTCATCTGCGTCAGTCGGCGCGTGAGAGCTCGAGCAGAGGTCGCATGCGGGCGTTAGCACGGCCTAGTCTACGGGGACGTGCAGGTCCATGCCCCGTGCCTCAGACGATGGTATGTACAATGCTTCGTGTCCCGCTTCTCTTCGAGTTTTGCGAATAATTTTGGTTCGCCCCGAACTTCCCGTAGTGATCAACGGAATTCAATTCAATGATGATAATGAAAGTGAATTTATTTTACATTTAATGATTGCGACATTATAGCTGATAGAATCGTCATCGGGCGTTAGTCGAAAGGATATCACAAGGGATCACACCAGTTAGTAAAAACACAACAAGTTAAAAATAATAATATATATTCATAAACACTTTTATTAGAATACTCTTATAAATCATTAAATTATTTTTCACGAACTTATCTATCAATTCATTAATCGATAACATTAAAAAGACGGACTCCCTACGTTCTGTATGTGTGGGACGAGTGTGTGGGTACGACAGACCCGCGCAAGGCCGCGCGTCACACGCCCGGCCCGGCCCAGCCTGTACCACCGCGGTATTGCCAGCACATTACGCACTACTTGGAATAGCCATTTATTCATCCGTTCATTGTCAACAACACCACTAAGCTCCACCTGCATTGGGTGCAGTCTACAATGTATCTCAGGTAACGCGCCAACGTTCTCTAAGGCACAAAGCTTATGCATTTATCGATATCGATTCATTTACCATTCGTATTCTAAAGTTTTTCAGTTTTACGAAATAACATAGATGATATCCTTATGCAGGTGTTAATGACAACTAAAGATTTCCTAAATAATATTGTAGATAACGCCCCAATGTAGGTGTGGTGTAGCGATGTCGCTGACAACATACGTCTTCATCGATTAATTTAAATAAATAACAACAAACTCAATTATGACACGAGAAAATCATTCTTCAAACATAATATAGAATATCAATTATTTCCAATTTAGCAAGAATATTCCTATAAATATCATTATTTATTTTATTACCGTCACTCTTGAATAAAAATATCTAATCTCTTCACTAACATTAAGTAAATTAAGTTCATAATTAATTGCAAACAGTGCATATGAAAAATATAGCATACCACGTATTGTATGCACTATCCCTCGAGTGAAAAAATCGAAACAGAATACAGCAACTAATTTGTTCTACAAATAGACAATTTAAATATTGTACAAAAACTATGTGCATTTTATATAAATAATGCTAAATGTCTTTTAAGTTGATTGTAAAACGTTAAACATTTTTGGACCCCTTTTGGAATGTCGATATTATCATTTATACCTTACACTAAGAGTGCTAGAGAAGCGGTTACTGCATACGTCATATAAATATCGATCATAGACATAACAGGCACGCTCGTAAAGTAATGACTATAAACAAATTACACGCTTCAACTATACGGACATAAATATTAGTAATTTGTGGATGTAATAAAAAATTGCACATGGCAGTGCTTTCGTAGCAAACACTCGATTTTGAAGTTACAAATAAAAAGCGGCTGGCAATTATTCTATAGCTAATAACATCTAGGCGCCCGCTCGACTCACTAGGTCTCTCTGAATTGCAAGAATGGTTGGAAAATATGTCAATTGAATAAAAACTTTTTGTAGGAGCACACCGTGCACTATGCGATCTGAGGGCCAATGGTTAGGTGGTTGGCGAGAGTGCGGGCGAGCGAGGCGAGCGAGGCGAGCGGGGCGGACAGTGGCGGGAGTTCACATGTTCTGTATGTCGTGCAGCGTGGCCTCCATCTCCTCCTGCAGGAGTTTGCTCTTTTCGCGCTCGGCCACCAGGTCGTCTGCAAGGGCGACGCGGCCACGGTCAGTCACACACACAACTAACTACTGTTCGCTCCAAACGTACAACTCATCAGTAATCACTTTACACATTACAATGAACAGGATAACTCAATTGACAGGATTACCGATTTGGACATTTGAATCGAACAGCACAGGCAAAACAACATCAATAATAAAAACCATGCTAAAAAATCACATCAAAGGATCGAGCAGTCTATTAGATAGGAGACACTTAAAAAGTCATGCTAACAAAAACAAATATTGCACTAAATTGATTTTGGATAACGGTGCACCAATAATCTGTATATTAGGTACATATACTTGGTCTAAAAGCTGGTGTGCACAGATCATGATAAACCAAAAACAATTTAGTGAGCAACAAAAAAATAAACTCTAACACAGTTACTATGAAATTAAGATAAAAAATAAGCTTAAGATTGTAGCAGAAATGACAGAAAAAGCTTTCAAAACTATTGTACAGCATTTGAACTCGTTAAGCCAGATCTAATGACGGCTGAGATGGTATCAAAAAATATAAGTGCGAAATGTTCAAAGCTTTTGTTATTATCAAACATGTTATTTTAACTTGACTTGTGAAATATTTGAATTTCAACTTAACCAAACAGCTGTACGTTGTATATTCTGTAATATATCTGGAGACCCTTGAAAACTTGGAAAACTAGCATCAGAAAATATTATTATTATATATTACTAAGACTTTTTGTCTGTCACTACTAATTTAACCTTTACTACGTTTAAATACGTGTCTCTTTGAGAAAATATATCTGACTTTATATATTTTTTTCAATATAAGAAATGATAGATTACCTTCAAGCCTGTCGACCTCCTTCTGGAGTTTCTGCACAGAGCGCTCAGCAAATTCAGCGCGCGCCTCAGCCTGAAATTATTAGTAAAACTATTTTAAATTCTGTTCGTATGTCAAACAGCCTATTTTCTGTTATTTTTAATATATAAAAGTGCTAACTTTATAGATATTATCACAATAATTAATTCATAAACATAAACAAAGATATTGATACTGTTTAAGGAAAGTTATTTCGTTTTAAGATCAGAAAATAGACTGTTTTATAAAAAAAAAATCAAACATGCAATGAATTTAAATCCCAATGAAACTTTATTTTTTATTTGCTTTAAAAGAAAAAACTAAAATTTTATCACGAAAAAAAATCTATTTACAATTTAGTAATAAAAATTTCAAACTATGTTACGAACAACAAAAGCTTCACAATCAACATGCAATTTACCTTTACCGAAAGCTGCTAAGTGCTGAATGGTGAAGATACAACACTAGATACGAAAATACCATTATACCCAAAATTATTACAAATAATGGTCGTGAAATATTTAGAGATAATTCCCATAACCAACAAGTTGTCCTGGTCGTCTTTTATACATACATACAAAAATAACCGGTAACAATGATTATTGAAAATGCTTGATAGGTATATTTTCTATAAATAACAAATAATGTAATGATGACTAATATCTATCGGAACCGATACAATCATTATTCTGTATGAGTAACGGTCAATCATTAAACTGATTTCGTATATGTGTCACTCATTTTTCGTTTTCCTTTTTTCAGACGACCAGGATCCCTGTATTGATCACAACTTACTTGCGAGAGTTTCTGCGAGAGGCTGTGGATCTTATCCTCGACGTGCTCGCGAGACGCCATTGCCTAGCCACACAGGACGGATTACTAACGGCAAGCAACCGACATGCCACCGACATGCCGCCGCCATGTTGTGACTGTACACTTTCGACAAAATGGCGTCCATAAGACGCAGAAAAATAGGATTGATGCATGCTAGATCCAGCAGTTTCAATCCCTGATCATGGACTATTTGGAAGTATTAAGCAAGTAACGCTTGGAAATATGTTTTAGTGGGACAATGTCAAGAAAATAAATGTTGTTAATGATGTTATAATTTCATCAGAAGGGTAATTGTTGTGCAACATCTCAAAAACAAAAGGTGGCTTAAAGATTTTAAAGATAAATGTGTAGGTACATATCTACTTAGATGGTGACTTGGGAAATGCGAAATATGACTCAAAATAATCCAGCGAAATTTTAGCTAAATTCGTAAAACAATTAAAAAAGCCAAATATAATGAAAAGCGTACAATCACAACACAGGCGCAGTTCTTACAGGTAGGTATGAAAGTATTTAATTACACAAGTACAGAAAAAGGAGTTGATAGTCTTGTACATAGATACATAGATGAAGCACCAACCGCCGTCAGCCACTCGACACTAGGGCCTACACCAACGAACGTAGCCTTTACGAAGCCGCACCTTGGGCTTACAAAAATGTCCACATGAACCACTTCATTAAGAAAAACTAGTGGTTACTTGTTTAAAGTGACATTTTTATAGCCCACGGCACAACATACTCGTACTACCCCAAAAACACAGAATGGCAATGAACATGAAACGCAACTACAACCGAAACCGTCTATCTACGTAAGTCCTCGGGTCCGGCTGTCATTTTACCTCTTTCAGTTGAGCGTCCAGCAATTTTACTTGACCCTCGTATGTCTCTTCTCTTTGCGTAGCCTGCGAGTATTATTTGTTAACGAAAAAACACAAAACAGCGAAAACTGAGTCATGCGGCATCACGCAGTGTTGCAGTGTTATACTGTCGAACAACGCTGCGCGATACATAGCAAAATAAACGGATAAAAGTACACTAAAACTATATTACAGCGACTAACTGGTTAAGAAAGAAAGTAAAAAAAAAAAACATTCAAACAGCAAACAGGAGGTAAATAAAAATGGAGGAAAACTGAACACGAATTACGGACGAACTACTCTCTTAATCCTATTTACCATCACCAAAGTCAGAAGACTGGTAACAAGAATGGTAAATCAGATAGAGATTAGGTGTGCGGCAGAATGCAGTTAGGCAAGCTAACGTAAACACTCGCTATATGAACCGATCTCGTTCGAATCACACCTCCTTTAGGCGGGTGGTGAGGGTTTTGATCTGATTTTTGTACTCCTCTTCACGTTGGTTGGCCTGTGTAGAACGTCACTTGGTTACTCGCCGTACATTATGGGGAGAGCACTATACATTTCACACACGTCCTCTCATTTGCATCATTCATACAATTAGCATTTACTTGGAAGACCAACTGCTTCGTCCTATCCTTATTCATTCAATGGAATTCGAAACAATGAGTAGGTTGTTACTGCTATACTTTCAAGGGATCACTATGGTTGGTGCATCATTCGGAATTTTTACTGCTGTTGGAATAACATGATTTAACTTCTCAAGGTCAAGGGATTTCGATATCATCCCTGGAATTTAAATTATTTAGCTCAATATTTCCTAGCTTACAATTAAATATATAAAATCACAGATATATACCTTCTCCTCGGAGACTTCCAGAGACTTCAGGTTGTTACCAACGACACGGAGTTCCTCCTCAAGCTCGACGATTTTGCTGGGGAACAGAATGGTAAACAATCAACTTCTACTGTAATAATGAAACCGTAAATGTCAAATGAAATATTGATGATACTACTCTGAAGAACTTTTACAATTAATCTGTTCGAAATTATTGTTTTGTTTTTATTTATTTCAAAAGTTTCAAGGCTCACTCAAAATCCCCCAAATAGGCAAAACTCTAATTATAGGGAACGAAATAAAAAAATCTACAGCAAAGCTGTTATATGAACACTTGTGTTGTTCTATTTAACTAGAAATTTTAACAGCTTCTAATCAATATCAATTAACCTGGGGGGCAATTGATCAGTGGCCGACATATTTGACAATTTGAACGTGTCCTCTTACATCTAATAATCAAAGCACTCGAAATTAAAAAAGAAGCGTGCATGTTAGGATTAATATATTATATGATTCTTATAGTTATGTGTAGTAGTCACTTGAATTCCTTATACGTTTATTTAATAATCAAATCTGTCTTGATAAGGACTTCAAGCAGCTATCAAACAATCATGCAGTGTCGCAAAGGCGATGAATTTAGGTGTATCCGACTTTTTAATCGCAAACCTCAAGTGGGCAAGCCTTGAGTAGCGATACAATTATCATCGCCTCAGCAACTTACGATATATACAATTTATCAGCGTGTATCAGTGAAAATAATTGAAACGCATACAGATAACAGTTTAATTTGCAATTTAATTACTTCAAGCGCAGACTTTCTCGTTTTCACTGACACACGGTGTCTTAGTAAGTGTAGCATGATCTCGTGCATAGGAGTTTTCGTCAAATTCATTAATGAATTCGATTAATCGCGTGGAACTGCTGATATCAACAGATCTTCTATCGATAGCAACAGTTCTACAGTAGCCTTTCAATAATGTTTACTCTGTTTATACTTGATTTTTAGTCATGGATTTTTCGTAATCAATTTCAAAACAAACCGTTAAAACACGAGTAAACCTTATAGCAACAGCTGGAGATACAGCAACATTTCTTGTTTCTTCTACACACGAACCGACGACGCGTATATTCGGCTTAACTGTATAGGAGCTACCCAAAATGGTATTTGTTTCAAGTTGATTGTATTTGGAGGCAAGTAGACGCGTGGTGGCGGCACGTGGTAGTGAAGCGGTACTCACCAGTCGCTCTGTTCGGCGCGCTCCTCGGCCCTCTCGAGGTCCTGCTCCATCAGCACTAGCTTGCGCGCCACCTACCAGCCGAGCGTTAGTACACGCCAACGCACACACACACAACACTAAGCTACCGAGCCGGGCACCGCTCTCGACGCGCTTCGCAGTGCAGTGCTACGTACAACTATACAAGTGTCCAACTTTGTGTCGACGTTTGTGTTTCAAATTCAGATATGGAAAAGTGCACGAATGATTTCTTTTTTTAGTTAAATGTTAACAAAGTTACCAAATGAGATTACGATACATTACTAGGTGACAAGTCGAAAGTTGTCGAGAAAATGAAACCTTACTACCATAGTGTTTGCCGAGCTCTTTTGAGACTCGCACTTTATGCTAATGGACTTTCGTCCGTAGCAGGTGTGCACGTATTTATCAAGTGCAGACATTTGTAAGTTAAGTGCAGAAATAAAGATCCGGGTGATGTCCTGCTAAAACTAAAAAGCAAAGCAGTGATTTGGAGCTAAAACACAAACAACAAAGTCAGCAAGGATCACACAAAGCAGGGGCAGTCGAGAGCGGTGTCAGAACTCACATAATTAAAAAATAAACGAGGGTTGTCCCAAAACATTTAGTTCTAAAATATTACTTTTTTCAATAAAACATTATTAATTATCTAAGTGCTATCTAGTGCATTATCGTATTCGTTAGGTGATGTGTGCGCTTGCATATGTGCGGCACGCATACGGCCAGTAATTCTGGTGTAATGCGGTGCATATCTGAAAACGAAAATTGCCCTATACCACACATATTTCCTGACATCCTAACCTATAGCCACGTTTAAGTAATACACACACTGAAGACAGAAGTTTAGTCGACACATGGACATGATAGTTAAACATTTGCATAAGAAATATCCATGAAATGGGGCAACCCTTGTTTTAGTCGGCTAGAGAGCAGCGACGCTCGAGTGCGACGTCGAGGGTCACTGATCTGCGCCGTGTCCTTATAATTAAGCAGTGGTGCCGGCCCAATCAACGCGGGCCCGCACCACCGTATTAATGTCATGACAATGCAAATTAATTTAATGTCCTGTTGAACAGCTTCCGCCTGGAACGCGACCTAGAATGGGCATGCAATAAGAATAACAGTGAGAGCCGATGTTAGAAATACCTATGTAGGTAAATCGGGTTACTGTGCAGAATGTTAAGAATGCAAATGAACAACCATGCAGAACGGAGGCGAAAACTTGCAAAACAACGCGTCGGGACCACTGCGCTAACGACCAGTATCGCGTGACACGCCAAAATAACAATGTCCGAGCGAGACGCGCAAACTACTTCGTGCCATTCTTATTTCGGCGTAATGCTAGCTTGGCCTCGCGGCAGTGGCCCGTCAGCGCTATGGAACGGAAACCTACGATTCGCCGGACTCAGCACGCTCCTCCGCGCGCTCCAAGTCAGCCTCAACCATGGCCAGCTTACGAGCAACCTGGAGATACCACACTACGTTAAACAACCAGTAATCACAGCTTTATCGACACCAACATGTGTGTCATTCGTTAAGGTTTAATGTCTGTCACGGCGTAGTCTTGAGCAAGTACACCCTACTTATATGGAAGTAATGCTTATGTAACGACATATGCGACGAAGGAGGCTAGTCCACCTTATATGGCGAACCGAGCAAGATCAGGCGCGATACGATTCCTTCTTGGGACGCTGACTTTTACGACTGCCTTCACTTCTCCACGCAGGGTCATATGTCAGGGGAATTAGGACGTATTATTGGTTCGGTAAACATCTGGCACCAAAGTATGATGAATACTTCTTCAATGGAAACATGTCGTAGATGGATAGCAGTATCTAATCATCAAGCGATAATACACCGCTTTCGAGAATCATCGCTCTGTTTTCGTGACTATTTGCTCAATGACGTAACGAACTCGAAATCAAGCTCACACTAGTTAATTTGCAGGGTTTGGTTAATATCACTTCGAAAATTCACACCTCAATATTTAGTAAGGAATTTTGAATTTAATTTAATAAAGGTTCAATGGGGGAAATAATGTTTGAAACAATAAATGAGTTATTATGGAAAACAACACTGTCAGTAAATAAGGAAACAACACGAGATATGTACTTCGCCTTTCGGTAAACACTGGAACACATTGACCGAATAAGGTAGAATGGCGATGCGATTATTCAAGACGATGCAACAGATGGCATCTTTATGAAATATTCATTACATGCGTATTGCAAGCAAGAAAAGCCAAACCAAACGACATCTAAACTCCCATATAAAGACCTCATCGTATTTCTTGTCGGCTTCCTCGGCGAGGAACCTGGCTTCCTTGAGCTGGTTCTCCAGGGCGTCCATACGCTCTTCATCGGCCAACGACCTGTTCTCGAGGACCTTACGGGCGCTGAACCACGAAATACAACTTTAGTATATGATCGAATGGTATCTTAAAGGTGGGGGCGTTTTCAAGGGTAACCCATTTGTTAGAAGACATGCAAGTAACGAACACGCTAGAGAGGAACATATAAAGCGACAAACAACCTGGAACCGGACAGCTGGAATATAATGTGAACCGAGCAATAGTGAGCTCATCGCCGCGTGTCAGCGATGGTTTAGTATATTGCCCGTTTCAATGTAAAGTGGCAAATAGAAACCCACTGCGGGATTTTTATTTGCTTTAAACGACTATTTTTGTATTCCGAACATTACACATTGGCTAGCCTTGTTAACTGAATTCATCAATTCAATTCTCATTAAGAATTTTGTTTACTCATCCATATTAATGGATTGCAACTATCATTCGGGTACGTCTGTTCAAAACTTTGCTTTTTGTAATATTCGGAACTTTAACATTTAAAACCAGACAATCTAGGTCTCGATTATGACACTAAATGTGAATATTTAATTGTTAAATCATTACAAATTCAGATTCGAAACTAGATTGTCTGGTTTTAGAATGTCATTAATCTAATGCATTTCATGTTATTACCAATATTCTTATCAGCTTGACACCAAAACTCTTCAAATGTATTTATCAAATCGCTATTATAAATCGATTTCATGATCATTTTGTGTTTCAACAACTATTAATTATGTCATAGATTAGCTTTGGAACTACTGTTATCTTTTTAATGGAAATCAATGCTTCAAGTTGAGGTGCCACAGTTATATGAATATTAGAATCATCCCTCTGTTCAATGTTGGCTTGTAACTTAATTATCACGGCACGACCAGGGTGCTAAAATATGTTAATTTGAATGGTACAGAGGGCGATTGTCGTAATAACACGTTAATGGTGTCAACAGAAGTTTCTCACTAACATTTACATTCCTCCATAGGCAATAAACAAAACTACGAATGGTTAAATCATTTTGGAATGGCTCAAGTAGAAGAAACTTCGTTCGACGGAGGATACAGGTATATTATTTTGGTTTTTGACGTTGGACAAGCATTCACCTCTTCGTATTTCTTGTCGGACTCTTCGGCGATGAGCTTGGCCTGCGACAGCTGTGCCTCCAAGATGGCGACGCGGTCGTCCTCCATATTGGTTCGATTCTCCAACGCCTTCCGTATTCTGGTTAGTGCGGGGTCAAACACATGCGTGTTATAACATCGATAAAACACTCGTTATGTGGCGTATGTGGCTATTTTATTTAATACAACCCTTTGGTAAATCATTTATCTTCATTGTCTTATTTGAAAATAAGCGATTTCCAAATTATTTGAAAATTGACTCATGGATTTAAACAAAAACAGATTAGGAAAGAAAGATTCGTAGAAACAGTTGTAATACTCAAGAATATGGTGGTTATGGGCATAAAAATTAAAACAGTAGAAACAATCATGCACACAGTTATATAAAAGTAGATATATTTACAACAAAATATAAAAATAGACGTTCCGTTCTCTAATGGTAATCCAATTTAGCTTTGAATTTGAAGAAGCCACTCAGTACGTCGGTACAGTATGTGGGTTCAATGTCGTTGGCTTATATTGCTACGGACGGATTGTTGAATCCCTCTCATATCAATTTATCACCTGAGGTGATGTAATGTTTTCGAATGTGATTACTAATTACAATTCCGTGTACTTAGTACTCAAGAAGTTTCTTCAAATTCAACTTTCTTAATATAATTGTTGGTAAATATAAATCGAGGATTTCAATCTATTAAGCATCTATTTTAAATAAAAGTCGATTAAGATTACCTCATTGAGTTTATGGCAAAAAATAGATAAGACAGTCAAGGATTCGAACCTAGACGAGTATTTAATTGAGAACTGTCTAGGGTTATTTGTATACGTGCACTCATGACGAGTAAGCGTAACATCCTATATCCTTCACTAAATAAAGCGGGCATGTGTTATTTGTCGGACTCACCGTTCCGACTCATCGGCAGCCTGGCTGGCCTCTGAGAGCTTGGCGGTGGCGGTGGCGAGACGCTCCTCGGACCTTTCGAGGTCCTCCTCCAGCAGTTGGATGCGTCGGTTGAGGGCAGCCACTTCGGACTCAGCCTGTGTCAACAAAAAACTTCATTAGTATTTGTTCAAAATATCTTAGTTCTTAAACTAAAAAGTTCGTTTAAAAAAACATTATTTTAGCAGCTCTTGTTGGAATCCAAATGTGTACAAATAAATGTTATTCTTAAACAAAGGGTCGAATATCTAAATCGAAATCAGTTCCATCAAAGGTTAAGGTACGTTAAACATCTTTGGAATCTGAAATTCGAAGAATTGCTTATTCTTAGTATTAACGATGCAAGTTGAATAAAAAAAATTCATAACTATTTTTAGAAATTGCACACGTTTATAAATACCGATAGTTATATAATTCGAATATCTGTTTATAGGTCTTGAATTTTCGATATCAACGTAATCCGGAACTGGATTAATAAGATATGACTAAAATTAGATTTTTCATTAAAAAACGTATGCAAAATATTAAATAAATATAATCAGTACAATAGAGAGTAACATTCATATACGGATGCGATGTATTCTAAAAGTTTGTGCAAGCAACATAAATGTTTGAATATAGGTAGTAGCATTTGAGGTGTCCAAAGTTGGTGACCATAACACAGGTACTTTTGGCCGTAAGAATGTCAATGTACAATAGACATTGTTGAACGTTGAAACACTATACGTGCCGAGAATAAACCATAAGGCATGGGGACACATTTTGCGTTACTTTATTTATATTCAGTTACTGCACGCTCATGACATCACGCGTCCTTGCCGCGAGGAAGCATACCCGAGTCCCAGTTTCTCCTCCTTTTATCCTGTGTCGTCATCAGTGCGTGGCAGCTAATAATAGTCATGACTAGCCTCGACAACTAAATCAGCCTCATTCTAATACATTTCTTTGCATGACATATTAACAGCAATTATCCGAGTCAGTAAGTGTATCCTCATAAAAAGTTTATAAAAACTTCCATTTCTAACGCCTCGATCGACAAGAAATATATAATTTCGATACATATTTTTTGTTAGAACACAAGACAAATAGGTGTCTGGTCGCGGCTATGTTTTAGAGATCAGTAGTCAAGCGTCACCTTGAACTTAGAGCATAATTCAAATTGACGTTTACTTGAGTCTATTTAAAACGGTGAGTTAAGCCTCTTATAGTAGGTTCGTCGACCTTTAGCTTTGATCAATGGAATTAAGAAAGCATGGGACGGACATCATTTCCTTCTACTTCATTATTAATGATTGTTCCGAACTAGATAGACTTGAAATCCACAGGTGCATATTGCCTTTACCCGTGTCGCTTTCACCGATAACCAAAACATTGTTAAAATTTTGTAGGATCGGTTAGGGCGGTGGCATTGTGTCTATTCAAACGTCGAATACAAAAGACTAGCCCTTGCAAGCTCAATAAATTGTAACGCAACACCGTCACGCGAAGGGACTGTCATTTCGGATGCCATTTTGGGTGCAATGAAGCTAATTCATTATTGTTGGTAATTCCCCACGCACTTTTGTTACATCCAACGTCAAATTGAGTACGCGATGTTTTACTGTTTCATACGAGGACATTGGGAACACAACTACCTAAGTAAATGAATTCTAAACATAATATGTACTACAGATGGTTGGACTGTTGTTGTATATGTGGATAAACGTATATTAATGGTTTCCTTAATTCAGATAACTCGTTTTATATGCATTTTCAAGTTTTGTGGTCATTGTGACAATGCAGAATCTAATCAAACGCTTCGTTTTTAGTTTTTTAAATTGATCTCAACTATATACGACAGCTCTCAATGTTAGTACACGCCCACACTGTGTTAAGATTTTTTCAACTAAACGTTTTCTATTTGCAACTCAAAAAAATCATTTGTTTAAAGTACATTTTCCACGTTCAGTAATTACTCTTTCACGCTATCTCAATTTAACAATCCTTATCATCGTTTTGATACACTTAAGACGATAAGACGAGTAATGTTCTACGAGATATCGCTAGCATAGCGCAGCATAGATTACGGAACACTCATTAAGGAACGCGAAGTTAATATGTCATCAATTATTTGAAAATACATGAGGACCGAAATGTTCAATTGTCAAACCGTCTATTTGCAGGTGTTTATGATCTGTAGAAGCATTACTAGCTTGTCGAGTTACGTCATACGACGATAACGGCGAACAAGTCGGACACGCCTTCACGGCGCCAGCGGTCCTTCGAGGACGTCCGAACAACAGGAATGTACTAAAGGGTGTTAAGCTTCACGAATCCAGCCGGCTCGCTCTACATGTGCCACTAAAGACCGGTATACGACCTCCAACGCAACCAAACCTGTTACGTGTAACAGAAACCGGCGCACACCCGACCACCAATAAAATTATGTAAAGACAGATTTCAAGGAACTACAAATCCCTATGTCTCTGAAGAGTAACACTTTTTGGGAACAACACTAAAGTCGACGAAAGGAACCGTGTTCAACGCAAAGAATAATTATTCGCCTTCTCTTTCTATGAGATTAAACCGAGATGAATCCGAAAGAGAGGTCAATATGCGTACGTTGCTTGCACACCTAAGTATGGCCGGACATTACTCACTATAGGTAGATAGTACAAGACTACTGATAACTCTCATATTTTGTCCCAATATGAATCCAACACAGGTACACATTGAAACCAACAATTCACAAAATTCACAACACAGTTTTAAAACACGTTTTCTTACTTCTTCTCTCCGCATAATTTCCACTTGTAAACGTTTGTGATACTCCTCGCATTCGTCCTTATATTTCTCCATTTCCTCTTTTGTCTGGCGCATTTTTCTTTTCAAAACGTCCAGAATCGTTCCTTGCTGCATGTTTGTCGTCATTTTTATGCACTTTTGTGTTTAAATTGAATGCTTAAACGCTAAAAACTAGAGACACCTCCGCTCTACTCGCGAAAATGCCAACTGACTGGCCCCGCTCGTTATTGCCCCGTATCGTCGAGATGGGCACGGCACGAATGAACACAGCCGGCAAATAAAATGGCCGCCACCGAACCTAGACGCTGCAACTTTATCGTTACTGTGCTAATTAGCTGCGATTCTGACTTATAACACTGACGAAATAATCAGTTAACGATCACGAGCTATTTATTCGAAATAAAGACACTAATATTTCACACAATTAGACATTCTCAAATGACTTTGACAGCGAAACATGAACAGAAACGTCACCCGCGCGGACACGACGATCGCGATAAGCACAATCGACCGTCCTGCCTGCAGGGCAAGTAGCTCCACCTGTTAGCGATTGTCGAAAACTACATCCTGTAGGGTCACAATCACAAGCGGTGTTTGGGAAGAAAACCCAAAAATGTGGGATGGGTGAAACGGTAGAGTGATCTTATACAATAAACAGTACGGAAGTGTATTTTTTAAATTTAGTGAAGGGCTATTACCGCTTTTGTATCGGAATCATGGGAACTTTTATTTGAGGACTAGTGTGAATAGGACGAACTCAGTTATGTTGAACGAGACGTCGCCCCAATGAATTGGTTAAATTAAATTGTTAAAAATGAATTGACACATTTTTACGAAATAAAAAGGTAAAAATGAACGAGTTAGAAATAAGTCACCAGCGCCATCTAGTAGCAAATTTCGCAACTAGCGGGTGTTGTCTACAGCCAATGATAGGACAGACGAACATGAACAATTTACACAAGACTGCCGAAATTATATGACGTCATTTGGAAAGTATGTGCTTGTTTTAAATTCCGATAAGTGAGCGATTGCAACAAAAAATACAAGTCGGTAAAACAGTAAGCCGTACTCCCACGAGGCCAATGATAACTAAAGTGAAATTCAGGTATTAAACACGGTCAAATTAGACGTTTAAACTGCACAGGTAGCCAGGTTTTTATGCAATACCTACTATGTTACCGACGACGTAACTTTTTTAATATTTTGTTCTATCTGGTATCTCTTAAGATTTAGATAGTCAATTATTGTTACAATATCCGACCAAGTGGTACCCGTCGTTATGCTTTTTGAATACAATGGATATGAATAGATGATTCTAATACTCGATTGTTATTTTAATTTTATGCGACATTAAGTGAGCAATAACCTCTGTAAAGGTGACTCATTTTACATCAGAGAACAAGCACAAAATATGTGCACTAATTTTATTGACCTTGCCGTTTTCAGCTTCACGGTATGCGGAGGTCTTTTATTCTTTTGAATCTGTCCTCTTTTTGCTACCGTATAAAAACCGCGTTGACTTCACTACTAAACTTTGTATCACAACGTAACTCAATCTATAGGAATAAAATTTATACTTATATGGGATTTTCTTTATCCAAACTTTTCATTAACAAAATCTTTCATTAAGTATAAGATCGATAATTAATCTGCACCTAAGTTTTTCTTTATAAAACGAGTTAAGTAATTAAGACTGGAACTGATTCAGAAGCATCGATGATAAAAGTCAAGGACCACATTCCCTAAATGAGATGATTCCATATTAATACGTAGTAGAAAGTTGGTCAACTGTTCGTCACTGACCATATGGTCAATGGGTAATAAGTTATTGTACCTGAAGGTTACAAGCTTACATATGGGCAGGCGCGTGATCACACGGCAAATGTAATTACATACTCCCTGTTATGATACATGAACTACTCTTAATAACTCCGTGACGCATATGGACATATGTCAACTATTGATAGCTTGCGTAACTTGTAGGTACATTGAACACAATCATGATAGTCAGGCAGTAATGAAATAGGTCGTTTCAAGTGTGGAATCTCGATCTAATTAACTCTGGTACGTTGTTGAGTTTATCGATGTTGAAAATGAGAAATTGATCAACGTTATTTATAAGTGTTTATTATTATTTATTTTCTGTCTCGTCTTTCTACTTTTTTTTCTTTCTTTTCTTACAATAGGCTTTCCTCTTATGTCGTGGGTGCGGTTATATTCATAAAATTTTAGATACAGAAGCCACCCGAAGACCTGGAATCAATTCGCGGATAACACAAAGAGTTCTTTCGTGCAGAAATATAACCCGCGACACGTTGCACGATAGCTTGTTGCCCAGCCACCGCACCAACCGTGCTGTATTTTTTATGAAATATCATCATTATGCTCATTGTACCATTAAGGTGCTGGCAAAAGTAATGTTTTAGAAGTACCTACACACAATTTCCAATTGTTATAATAGGTATCAGCAATTAATCACATGCTTCCTGAATTACAATATAAAAGGAAATTCGATTCAATTATTAATTGTTTAATTCAGTGAGTTATTTAATGAATCATTTTGAATAACATAAAACAGTGCTAATAGCGCGTTTGTAAAACCTTGTTAAACCATGTTTTAAGGCAATAAATATTATGATAATGATTACCTAACTGGGTGACTGGCTAACGGGTGTCGCGAGTCAATTTCTACTTTCTGCAAAAAAGTGCGTATGTACATATGTTATGTATGACCCAGTCTGCTGGAATTACGTTTTTATTTCATTCTTCTAGCCCCAAGGATTATATCAAGCCACCGGTCCCTTATACCATCTAACCATTGAATAACACTCGTTACGGCTAGTAAGAAGTTAAGAAATCAGTCAAAAGGTCTATTGAGGCAGGCATTTTAATCCCTAAAGGGCAGAGGAAGGAAGATTGTATACACAATACAATATATTTAAGCATTATAAATTTACAAATTGCCTAGTTTAACAAAGAGAATTAGTTCTATTGTAGCTTCAACAACAAAAATTTAATTCCTGCTTTAAATAAAAAATATTTTAGTTTCTTATAAACCGCATCATTTCACATGTCATCGTCGAGTTTTATTTTAAAACAAGCCGACACAGTAACAAGCACGCAATAGCTGTGAGTAATCTATAAAGGAAAAAGTTGGCCAAATGCGCATCGAACAAGAATTCCTAATTTATTTTTATTTAAAGTATTTCATCGAAAACCTTCAGTTGTAACGTATAGAGAAAGAAAGTAGTAAGTAAACTTCAAATGAATTCATATCAATTAAACAAAGATGAAAATTACAATTTAATGCTTCTTTATTACGTTTTTCAGAACACCTTTTTCATTTTGTGTGCTATGGAATCTATGTTTCATAAGAAGTGAGTCAAAATATTTATTTATTCTTATACAACACATACATCAAACAGGAAAATACATTGCAAACAAATGTTGCACAGGTACAGCATATTCATTTTAGAATTTGTATTTTTGGTATTTCAACAAGATATTTTAATAGAACTCAAGTGTCGGTCAAGATAGATGCATTTAAGCAAAACAATCGACAATTGCTTTTTTTTTTTGAAGGGGGTAGTCATCAAATGGCTTCAATCGCTTTGGGTGAGACGAGATGGAGTGTTAAACTCTTTCTAACTAAAAAAGCACCCCCTTCCCCTTCTACTCCTGCTCCAGCCGATGGATGGTATGTTATTGTGATGCCACCCGTATTCCAATTGGACTACGAGTATTATGAAACTGCTTGAAAAAGAGTAACCATGGAGTTTCTTGCTCGGTCTTCTCCATCAGAATCTTGCATGACGTTCAAAAGTGCCTGTTGTGGTCTACTTGAAATAAATGATTTGATTTGATTTGACAATGGTAAGAACTCTTATTTTACAAGGCAGTGATACATGATTATTATTAAAATCCTCAGTAAACATTTAGATTAAGTGATTGATGGTTCGATTTCGTAACGATAAAAGCAGACTTTCGTATAATTTACATATTTTAACACAATTGAAAGTTAAAATGATAAACAGAATCATTTTTTAAAATGGTAAATAATGGATACAAAGATTTATTGCTATCAAGAACACGTGCATAACAATTATGTTAATGCAATAATGTTTCGTATACAGCGTGATAATAGCCTTACGCTAAGATCGCGCTGTACAGGACTAAATACCTAATCCTAAGTACTACTAGCTAACGTTATCCTACACTATCCTAGATAATCTAACACTTACAATATCCTATCCTAGATCCCCTAAGCCCAATAACCTATGTAGTCTAAGTTCTATCCTATATTTGCCTAGCGTACAATGCGTATAGGCTTGGTACTCTGTGGTATACTGTGATACAGACCAGCACTTCTACGCACCTACTACCAAGCCCTTAACCTAAGGCACGTACTATAGTGGTACACTGTGGTATGCTGTGATACAGACCTACTCTTCGTACGCGCCTAATGCCCTAGCCCTACAGTCCCTAGACCCTAGCCCTACTATACGTATTTATATATACTTATATAGATAGGTGCAGGATATCTGCCAACTGAGACCTATGATGGCAGACGGAATGTGGGTAGGAATGGGGTATGGTGGTGATGGTTTTCTCACTGCCTGTCGAGCAGACTCACACGACAGATCGGTTGATGGCTAAAGGTGTCTTGGCCACAGTGAGAGGTGGAGGAAGGGTAGTGAGTCAAAGTCGGAATCAACTTAATGACTCCTTTATTGCTTAATCTACATGATCTTATATACTAAACTTATCCTATGTACACACATACCACATTATGATTGTGTGCTATGCGTGTAATGTACCATCTCAGTGCTATATACCTTACGTGATTACGTGATGTTTTATTAGTTTTATATATTTAATAAGTAATATGTTTTCCTTATTTTAATCACGTAGGATTATCTCGCTGAAATGGCACGTTCATGTGTGAACATTCTGCCCTCTCCGAGGAACAGGCAACTCCATTTGATATAGTTCTATGGAGTCATCCTTGGCTGCGTCCTGGTTCTCCGGCTGCTTCCTGGGAGGCTTCAGTAGTTGGTTCGGCTGGCTGTAGATGGCGTTCCATGTAGATGGCTGGTTGTTGCCTTGATCTGGTGCACGTTGTGGGTGTGGCGGATCAGCTTTTGATGATTTAGGGTGTTGTCGAAGTCGATGTGTTCCTGTTTTCGTACACGTAACTATCCTGGGACCATAACAAACAACTATAATTATAATTGTCATCAATATTATTGATGATACGCAGCTCACTAAGTATGTGTGAGATTGAATGTCCTTCCATATGTTATCGTTAAGTTCTATTTCCAATCCAGACTCTTCATTTATTAAGTGCTGATAAAAGTCATTGGAACTTTCTATTACAGCCTCCTTAGATATATTTAGTTTTTTACTTCGATTTGATATATATGTGTATATACTAAAATTTAGTTGTTTTGAAAAGGACTCTGCTACCTGAATTGATAACGTTCTCTTAGCAGCGAGTCTGTTGTTAACGGATTTTATGATACAATTGTCAGCGATTTTTATTACTCCTACGTCTTGAATGGTTATTTCTTCTCGCTTACTATCACAAACTATGGATATAGTGCTACTAGTTTTTGTTATAAACAACCATGAGTTTTGCATGCATAGCTGTTTCCAAATTATATTACTTGACATTTCAAAGATATGGGTAGGACATTTAGTGTTAGTTTGATTTTTGAATAATTGGTCAACGATGCAATTTTCATTTAATTGCATGTTTTTCACCACTCCAGGGAAGCAAAGAAACTGTTCGTGCCTTTGTATACACTCTTTGAATTCTTCGTGGTCCAGTTCGAAGTATAATTCA